CCTGAATATGGGAATAACATGAAACATGGTCCAAAAGGTGAACTTAGCCTTTAAGGGCTCATGCACATAAGTGGCTGATCTCATACAAAGAGAATACAGTGTATTTCCCCCCACCAGGAAGCCCCAGCCTCCTATAAAAAAAAGTAAATGGCTATAAGTAGTGGTAGGTAGTTATACGCCTCTACTTGTGTATGGACACACATGCAGTTGCAAGCAAGTACCAGTGCATACTCATGTACAGTTGTGTACAGCCAGGGGCGTAACTAGAAATCACAGGGCCCCATAGCAAAATTTTGTATGGGGCCCCGTGATTGCTAGTCATGCCACTTGCAGACCCCCAGCGCAGAGTGAACCTGCAGAGCCCACCATAGACTCTCTATAGTGGGCTCTGCAGGGTCTGAGATCTCTTACCTGTCAGCGCCTCTTACTGGGCCCCGCCTCCTCTGCTATCGACGGGCCCTCCTGCCTTCTCTTACATCACTGGCCCCACCTGCTCTTAGGTCGCTGGCCAGTGATGTAAGAGGAGGGGGGCCCCGCCTCCTCCATTCCGAACACCACCCTCATCTGCCACAGCGAGTGCGACCCAGGAGGCCCTGGCCGGGCCCCATAGCGGCCGCCTGTGTACAGCCACTGGCTTCTATGAGAGGTTGTACTCATCACCTATGGTTCCCTAGTGGGGGGAAATACATTGCTATTAATGTTGTGCGGGCCCAGCTGGCTGCGTTTATAAGCCGTTATGCAACTCCTTCAGTAAATGAATGGCAAATCAAAGCAATTTACATTTGAATCAAAGCACCTCAGAAGCACCTAAAGCCCATCACAGGTGACTGTGGTGACGTACCAGTGTACGCAAGTAATAAAAGTGCTTGCGGGCTCCTAGGTTAGACTGAATGCCTCCTGAATTCTATACGATTCTAATAATGGTGTTAGATCCACCTCCTATTCCCAACACAACCCACCATGTTCCACCATGTGCAGCATCTGCTCCACTCATATAAGGAATATTGGAGGACATGGAACGCTCACATAAGGCCTACCTCTGTGTCCATCTGAATTGGTGCAGCAGCCGTACCGCAGCCAAGGAAACAAAAGAGGAGGAGGTGATATATCACAAGACTAATAATGGGGAATCC